ACACTCTTTTTTTATTTCTGGACTGGACCGAAGATGCTCACTTTTTTTCTGTTGAGTTCACAATTAATCAATAAAAAACTCATAAATACTCATGACCAGCGTATACTTGATATCCTCTCCCTCGGCATATTAATCAGCCGCACCGTGTTCGACTGGGCAAAAGCTGAAAAGAAAATTGCATTTGTTTACTTAGTTTTAAGTACCTGCATTAACAGCGCAGCCGCAGGAAGCGGATGTATAAAAATTAATGCCCTGCCCTAGACGCAGAATAACTGGGAATAAGCGGGAAATCAGGACTTTCACTCAACCGCAGGAAAAGCGATTAAAATTCAGCAGAACAATTTACTGAATTTATGGGGGCCACGGCAACATAACTTTGGGACTCAATAAAAAAGTTGGGGCATGATAGAGGAGAAGGGCTCGCCGGCGTTATAAAACCAAATGATTCTATTAAAACGAGATTTGTGCCAATCAAGCGGAAATCAATCTGCTCTCCCACTTACATACTGGCCCGCCATCATCTCTCGAAAAATCATAAATAATTTCACCCACCTTGTTGAAGACAACAATAAAATATTCATTGCTTGTTTATTGAATGTAATTTAACAACACTTAACCCGCTCAAGGACGGACGGTCAATCACAGTAAAAGGGCCGGAGAAAAAGGGGAAAATCCGGCCCAGTCCAGTGCGGCCATCAAAGGGATCTATTACGTGGTATTTAATCAGATTTTTTACGACCAACCAACAATAAAAATGTAAATAGACAAGAAAGGATTGGCCCGGTCGCTCTGCCTGTCATTTTCCGAGGAGGGAAAGCGACTGGGAAATTCCCACATCCCCGGCCACTGACCACCACTAAACTTTTCTGCTACGTTTAACGTTTGCTGTACTGTTCAGCTCTGTTCTGTTCTGTTTTCCGTTTTCTGGCCCTTAAGCGTCTTCATTTTGGCAGTTGGCTGACTTTGGCTATGGCTTTTATGGCCATATGCCAACCCAACGCTGGGCCGTAAAAAAATATGGTTTTACGACCGGCGGAGGGTTAAGTGAAAATGTCCATCGATAAACCCAATCAGTCAGCAAATTTACCATTGGCCTGTGTTCAATTATATGTCCAACATTTTATTATGTCGTGGTTTTAGATGGGCACCAACAAAAACACAAAAAAAAAAAATAATATAAATTGTCCTGGCAGGTGAGCTGTGCGTATAATTAATTTCCAGTAGCTGGCAAAAACTTTTATTAGCTTGTTTCCCATTTGAAGGCTGTCAGACTAGAACAGTATGAAATTTACCTTGCTCTCCTATTTTCCCAGAAATCTGCCAGCCATCTACCCGCCGTCATATTACATAGAATAATTAATTAATTTTTGCGAAACAGCCGTGAGTATTTGACTGCCCAAAAATTTTGCAATTACTGTAATTGTATTTGCTCAGCAGAAGTATTTGACGGCCAAAACTTTAGCTTAAACTTTAACCATACTCATTTGGCCTTATCGGCTTATTAAAGCTATTGTGCTATCAGATTTATTGCAGGCTGCTAGAGAATGTATTTAAATATTAAATGTTAACATTTAAATTGGAGAGGAGAAAGTAGCTTCTCGACTTTTGTCAAAAATTTCAGTCATATTTGAAAAGGATTCATATGCCGAAATCTCTGAAATCTGGGGTATTTAATTTTTACTTATAAGAAAGAAAAGAAAATAAAAAATCCATGATGTAAGATATATTATAAAGAACGTAGGAAATAATTTTGTACTGCTTTTCATTTATAAGACAAGATAAACAAGGAGCTTTCAATGATTACATACACAAAAAGAAATTAAACAATTTCTTAAGCCATTTAAAGAAATTAACAAAAAAGAAAAGTAGTATTTAAAATAGTATTTATCTCCTATAGGATAAGCCTGATTGACAAAATTTGTATGCTTGTATAAGCTGATTTCCTAAGATAAATATTGGCTTATATCAAAATATATTTCTCTATTTGCTTAAAAAGACAAGACTTTATTTTCATCTTTAATAAAACGTTGTGTATTGATTTAGCTTGAAAACAAATAAAAGAACTTTCCCTCAATAACGTATAATTTCGGCTCTCACAAATCTACCATAGGTTTAAAATACCCCCGCAAATCTGCGATTGACATTGGATAACGATAGAAATGGGCATGTGCAGCTTTTCATTTTCGTTTCAGGTTTTCATACAGGTAAAACATTAATAGGGCCATACATAAGGATAATCTGGCTCTTGCTTTTAAAGCCATTGTTTGTCACCATTGTGTATTTGTTACTCTGTTCTGGGTGTGTGTGTGTGTGTGTGTTTGTCTGCCGAGAGAAGTAAAATCCATAAATATTACTGTAAGTGTTACCATTACGTTTTCCATGGCCGTGCTGCCTTGTTTTCACTTTGATTGTTACGTGTTGCCTGCACCGCTCGAGCTTTCCCGCCCCGCCCACTTTTCCGCCGCCCCTTTCGCCATCTTTCCCCGCAGCATGCAGGCAAATTGGATTTTCATGCATACTTGGTCACACGCGCCCGAAAAGGCAGCCCAGAAACGGATGGCGGAGATTGGGACTGAGAGATGGCGATGAATATGGAGCCATAAGGCCGAGCCACGCCCATGGACAGAGTCCTCTTCGGAGGTGCCCACTGTGGATAAGGGGGAAAACAGCCAGAAAATACCTCTCTTTCAGTATTTCACAAAACAACACCTAACATATTTTATCATAAATGAGTCAACAAATATACTTTTCTAATACAAATTGCATCATATATATAAATCAGAAGATTTGATTACTAGCTTTAGCTTTTCTGTTTATTCCGCAGTGTGACCTTGCACTTAAGCTAAATCTTAACAGTGTGACCATGGTATTCAGCTAAAGTTGTAAGCGACGATTTGTATGCCATATATAAATATATAAATAATAAATAGTAGCCGAATTCCTTAGCTTTAAGAAAAATTTATATTAAATTTAAGAAAATATTATTAAAACCTTAAAAAGCATTAAAAATTGTGTGATAAAAATGGCTAGAATCTCAACTCTGCCAACGACTACTATCCAGAATTTGAAAACTCTTCCCGCCTTCTGCTAAACGTTGTTATCTGCCTTATTCTGCGTCGCCTTGTCGTCTGTCCCATGTCCTCTGTCCCCAGTCCTCGGTCGCATTGTCCTTTTCCTTTTCGGCTTGTGTTTTATATCCTCGTTCTGTGCTCGTTTGTGCGTTCGATTCGTTGTTGCTGTCGCTGCTAGCATAAATTTATTATAAAATAATTTGCATAATTCGTTATTACTCAGCATAAACAAAGTGAAATTAAGACGATTTCTTTTTATGCCTACACAGAGCCTCCATCCCGCCATCCCGCCACCCCTTCGCCACTTGACTCCATTCCGAATCCATTCTCGCATCTGAATCCAATCCCCATGCCCTTTGTCTCGTCTTTTGACTGCTCCGTGTCTATTTTGTCAATGTCATTTGTTTAGTCAACGGCTCAGCTCGACAGTCGCCTGAATCATTTGGATGTTGTTCCGTCCCAGGCATTTTCCGGGACACCTTTATGTCGCAGCTGCTCGAATTTCCAAATCCCGGGCCTTTGTCTTGCCGGGAAAGTGGGGAAAGTAGCATTGAAACATCCAATGCAGCCTAAGCCCTGAGCCCTGAGCCTCTGATGGCTTAATATTTATGATTATTGTAAATCTATTTGCATGATTTAGAAAAGCATCCAAGGAGTCGGCACAGTGGGATTCGAGGATCTTTTCAGGGATCAAATCTGCACCATTCAATAGGTTTTTCTTTGGACTTTGGATGTATTTTTCGGTTAGGATTGAATAAATATCGTTATTTTTCGTTATAAAAACTAGGACTAAAAATCTTTAATTTTTGGTAAATCCAAAAAGTGATTACTTTGTTTTAGAATGGTTTTCTTAATTGATTTTCTTGAAAATATAAACATTTGTAAAAAATATAAAAAGACGGATCATTATTGAAAATGTGATTGGATTTTTACGAAAAAGGTGTCTGGGAATAACTAATAACGAATGGTAGGATTCTTTTAATATCTGTTAAATTTAAATTTAGACCACAAAAGTCGAAGTTGGCCCATAGTGCGCTCTTCCTAGGGACTTAAAATCCTTTCAGGTTCCTGTGGCACCTCTCGATATTGAGTTTCCCCGATACTGCTCCCTGTAATACATCTTGGAGGTATTTGTTTTATCTGGCAAACTTTCTTGGCCTGTTCACTTTGCCAACTTCCCTCGCAGCTGACCACTACCAGAAACTTGACCCAATCGGCGCCATTTTGCTTAAACACACGAACATACAAATGCAAATACACGAATGTATATGCCATACATATGCAGATATGCCATACATATACACATACATATGCAGACGCCCATAGGTGGAATACATTTTGTAGCTTTTGAATGCTAACTGAGTTTACTTTTCAATTTGATTTCGTTGTCTAAGCAAATAACGTGAGCCAGCTCGCAAGTATAAACAAATGGGTGTACTTACAGTGGGTCTCCTGAATGTGTGTGTGTGTGTGTGTTAGAGTGTGTGTGTGCGAGAGAGAGGGAGATATTGGGGCGGATATATGATACTTTAGATTTTGATGGCCTGTCTGAGAGGCAGAGCGTCCTGCGTTGGTCCAATCTCCATACAAAAGCACTACTTATTATGCCAGTAAGTAAATATTATTCACGTTAACTTCTACAAATAGTTCCCACACACAGAAACTCGTAGTGGATACTAGCACATCGGACACTCAGAGAAAAACTGTACACACGTGAGGCAATTTAAAACTCTAAACGGAATTTTAGATGCTATGTAAAAGTTTTTATTGATACTTGTTTATGAAAACAAAAATCTTCTTTTAATCCATTTTCATATGCAAATAGCTATTTGAAATGCAGCAAATTAATTTATTTATTTATTTGCTATTCTTTGTGGAAATTTCAGTTAATAATCATTTTATTATTTTTTTATTTTAATTTAATTATAGAACCTCTATCACCCATCATACAAAATTCGAGCTGTAATGATACTTATTACTGTAATTTTTGGATGAAATACTTACGCTTATGTGTTTGGAACACTTTTTGTTGTGGTTTCATTAAGAAAACATTACAAGCTGATCAAAAAGAGGTCAAGATAAAAGGTAAGCTATCGACAAGAAAATGATCTTAAAAATTCCAAAGTTGAGCCCATATTTGTGACGCGTTTAACTGCGAATGAGCAAACTATTTTGCAAGTGCATCGGTCCAGGACCATGTAACTTTGCTCTTGTTGATGCCGGGCTGAATCTTGTTGTCCTTCCTGTTCTGTCCTTCCTCTAGAAACACACAGATACACTCTCACACACACTCCCTTATTTATTGCCCTCGCTGCTTACCTTTTGTTGGATGAGGGAAAAAGTCAAAGGCTGCAGGGGGAATAGCATTTCAAGTTCTTTTCAAGCTGCTTTAGTGAAACCTTTTTTAAAGGAGTTCTAGGAAGCAAAATACTTCAATAAATTACCCAAACTCGCTTCAGGTAATCCATAATTGAATTAAATTTGTAGCCTTAACAGTTCGATAAGTCAAGTTTTTTTTTCAACTTTTAACTCTGGAAATTTGTTGCATCTTTAATTGGATTGGGAAGAATATGGAAATTCTGCATCATGCCTAATATACGAAATAATTTAGGTACGTAAATAAAAAAATTGCAAATGAATATTCGCATTAACTACTAATTAAAACATCTAGAAAAAAGTTAAAAAAAGAGGCATGTGAAATTTAAAAATGCCTACCCAAAAGAAAATGCAACCGCTTAAGAATTGGAGGAAAAGTTATGGAGTCAGCTAAGGAGCCTGTTTCTTTGAAATCGTTTTTGGGCAAGTTGATTTTGGACTGGCCTCTTCGTGGAATTCATAAGGCAAATATGCTAAAAATGGTCAAACAAAAAGTTCAAAATTCGTTTTGTACATAAAGCGGCGCCGGCAAAAAGCAAATACCCTCCTGCGGTGGGTGATTTTTCATTTCTTTTTTCTCGTGGCTGGGTGGTAAGGTCGCGGCAATGGAGCTAAAGAAAAAACGTTAAAGCGGCTAATAAAATCGTGCTCATTAAAGCAAAGCCAACTTTTGCCCCTCGGCTAAAACGTAATAAAGGTTAGAGGAGTAAACTGAAGCCCAAATCGGTGGCCAACGTCCCACCATCCAGAGTTCGTAGCCGTCGGCGGGTCAACAGAAAAAAAGGAGAAGAGGTTGCTAAAGGGGGAAAGGGGAGTGTAGGGGAGGGGCTCTGGAAAAAATGAGGAAAATCAAAGGAAAGTGCACACCGCAGTCTGGTCACAAAAGAAGAATCAGGAATCAAGAGTTCAAAAGTGGATACAATGTGTCTGAGTATATGAGTGCACATTTGTAGAGTTGACTGTCTGGAACTGCACTTGAAAAAAAGGCTAGATACACAAATTCGATTGGATAATAGTGTTAACTTTTTCAAAGTTTAATATTGGATTTTTAGTGTTTACGTATTGAACTAAATTATTAAATACTTTTTCTTTATTTTAAAGGTTTTTATCAGGGACCGAAACGATTAAAATTATTATATTCAGGATTTTTATTATTATGCATAAAACTCATATTGGGGATTCTTATTTATTTTACGTTATGTTTAAGGCATTTGTTTTAAAAATAATAAAATTTCCGCATAACGATTCACTGGGGCTAAATATCTGAAGGCTTCAGAGTGGCCATGGATTGTAGTAGAAGTAGAAGTAGGATTTCTGAAAGACATGTTTTTAGGTGAATTGAAAATCAGCCACTCCCAAATTTCTTCCAGTGCCTGTGGCATGCGCCATGAAAGGCGAATGAGCCGGAGTGAATGTCCTTGCCGGGTCTGAGCTGGTGCACATGTTGCCATGAATACGAATCGCATTTTCTGAGGGCCGGACGAGGGCGTCCATAGGCCTGCGAGTTGCACTAGCAGAAAGTCAAGTTGAAAGACGAGGTCCAGCCCGTTTTGGGGGTCAACTGTTGGTCAGCCGAGCACCACTACCAATACCGCACCACCACCACCGCATTCTGTAGCACCACTCGACGGTGGGGCCAAGAACAAGATTATTTAACCAGCGGCAACATGCACATGGGGAAAGCCAAAAGGAAAAGCCAGAGAGCCACATTCGGAAAACAGGGCCAGGAAAGTGTAGGCAAACAAGCGAAGAAAGCCAAAGAAAATGTTAATGGCTCTCGGACTTTAGCCATCTCGCTCTGGCATTTGCTATCTCTGTCTGTCAGTGGGTACACAGAGAAAAATATTGTACATATTTAAGATTTTTTGGTTTTTCATGAGAGGCTATTTTTAAAGTTAAAGATAGTTTAAACAGAGCAACAGAACAACTAGAAGTATGTACTTGTAAAGGTAGGATATAAATAAATAACATTACACCATATTTAATAATAAGTTAAATTTAGTTTTGATTCAAATCACCAAAAAAAACATTTTAGGTTTCATGGCTTATAAAATTAAGTTCATGGTTATGCCGTTAAAAAAAAATTAAAATTTTCAAGTTCCTAAAACAACGAATTTCAAGACAAAAGTTGTACAATTTTATCCCGACATTTATTACACATTTTTTTTCTGTACATTTGTGTATTTGCTCCTGCTGTTGCTGCAGGCAAAGTTTTAATAAAGACAAGGACAAAAGCGTTGAACAATTTAGGCGCAAAACACAAGGAAAACAAACATTTCATGCTCAAAATAAAAACGAAAGCAACCGAGACCGAGCACACAGCTTTTAGATACGGCTACAGCTACAGATACAGATACATCTACAGCTACATATGAGCTGAATTTTGGAGTGCAGAGTGTAAGTCAAAGCTGAAAAGTCAAGTCAAAACCAGGCGAGGACCATGAAAGTAACCAAACGGCTGTCTAATGAGAGCAGTCAAGCGTTTTCGCAGCGAGGGTGCGAGTTCGTCTACATGGGCTAATTTACCATGCTCCGCCGCTCCTGATATGTGGGAACGTACGACAGGGGGGGGGTCTTTATTGTGGGCGGCACCCCAAGGCTTTGCAGAGATTGTTCAAGCGGTATTCAATTACCTCATAATTGAACACTGACCTCCAAGATGATTCGCTCACCCACCTTACACAGCCTCAAGCAAATGATGTGTAATTTAATAATAAAATGAACAAACAATCAACAGCAAACAAAGCACTGCCCAGTAGGTTATGTAACAAAGAGGTAAGATTCAAATTATATATTTACAAAATTGGGGAGGAATACTTTATCTATACATATATAATTACCTACTAGATATTTTTCCTTTAACTGGAATCTTACCTTACTACATGCTTAAAAAGAGCAGTGCCCCACAAATCACTAGACTTTTCAAATCATTTATAAAGGTGCCTAAAAATATGCAATGAATAAAAAAACATGGTCTTGCGGAATAAGCCCAAGGAGCTCAAAATACATTGTTGCATACTTTTAGGCACCTTTTAAGTGATTTCAAACATCTAAACATTTTTTCGGCATCCACCATAGAATGAATAACTGAGTACAGTAGTAGATTTGTATTCTACGAAATAAACATTATTCTGCCTATTTTAAACAAGCGTTGATCCCCCAAATAAGGTTTCATTGCCCCGATTACAAGTCCCCGAGTCCACGAATCACAACGATAATGAGTGGGCTCGCTTTTATTCCGCTTTGGTTTCCTTTTTGTGGCCTTCGGCCGAAGATTAGAAGCCTTTCAAATTATTCAAATCGATTTCTTGTTGCGGTCAGGCGAACAATGTGCGGTTGTCGGGAGCGCCGCTCCTGTGGTGACAAATCCGCTGCAACATTTATGAGCAGGTCAATTGGAATTGCCGCCCAAGGTGGCAGCTGTGACAGGCCGGCGAATCGGCCGGCGAGGGGCGTAATGCATCACCTCATTTATAAATCATACGCTCACACACGCGCGCATCGCAAACTGGAGGCGGCTGGCGACTGGAAACTGGGGTCGATTTATGGCCCAGGATCAAGTTTGGGGTTAAGGCGAGGGGGAGGTGGGAGGGGGAAGGGGGGAAGGGGGTCGAGGACACGCGCGAATGAATTTTCTGCTGGCGTATGAATTTGTTACGCAAACCCACACACACAGACGTGCCCATATAGGTGAGAGGCCTTTGTGGTTGCTCGTATACAGATAGAGAAATAGTGAGCTATTACTGTAATTCTGATTTATTAATACCTTCTTGTTCAATACAAAACTTTTTGCAATTAAAAAGTTTGCTCTTTACGTATGTAATTTATCGTTCCTGACCGTTACGCAAACCAAAACAATCAAAAAACTTTTGTTTTCATTCATATTTTATTTGTAAAATTTGTTCGTATTTTGCGATTTGACAGGAATTGGCTTAAAAACTTCTTACAAGTTAAGACCAAATTTGCAAATAAGGGCTTACTCTATACGAGATTTTATAAGTTACTTATTGGCAAACGTCAAATTGTGAAATATTTTCGAAAATGCTCGTTTCAAAAGAATTATGCAGGTACACTTTTACTAGTGTTTCTAATGGATATTTGAGCTCAAAACCCAAGACGATTAGGGGTTTATAACATCGTATATTAATATTTGTTTTTCCAAAATATCTTAACCAAAATAAAATTATTATTTAGTGTTAAATACATTGTCCAAATTTATCTTTTAAGATTTGTCCTTTTAAAGTTCAAAGTATACTAAATATATCGAGGATAAAATTGGTTTTCGACAAGTTTTAGTTGAGTTAGCTTCATAATTTGTATATACTTATATCAAAAAGTAACTGTTGGACTGCTTGAGCCTGTGAATGTAGTCCCGAATTGCTCACAGTGCACTCGAAATTCTATTTGTATTTGCCTGGGACTGCCTACGTCAGCACTGACCAGCGGCAACTAAAACGGGGCGGGGAACACAAAGGCCCAGTTAGTCATTGAAAGTCAAAGTCAAAGGCAAAAGTACAAAGGACCTATCCAATGGAAACATGCTGGCCTACGCAGGATAAACACGGCCGAAAGTCCTGCCTAATTGTTATGGGCCGAATGTCTTTCTCCTCGTCGGCCGAATTCCAAACGCGTTCGCAGCCAAGGAAAAGAACATGGGCGAACTCCGAGGACGGAGAAAGTATGGCAAAGAAATGGTTTTGAATAAAATG